CCTCGAATATCTTTTAACACCTTATCATCTTCTGACTCTCGTACCTCTTCTGATCCTACAACTGACGTACACTACAACACTGCTACCTCCTCTTCAAACTCCTTCTCCTTTAAATCTATCACTGATAGTACACCACTAGCTTGTAAAGCTATCAAAGCTCTAAGAATAGCTTCTGATGATAATGAGACATGGAATAGAATTACCAGAGATGGATTGCTTGAAAGATTAGCATCTAGGTTAAAAAGAGCTGCAGCTAAGTTTTCTCAACAAAAGCAAGCACCTTCACCTTCAAATGAATCAGTGTCAGAGACAAGCGTTTCAAATAAAGAAGTTACACCAGAAGCCTCAGAAGAGCCTCGTGATTATAGAGCTGTAGTTAAGGAAATTACTGATCGCCTACCTAAAGCAGAAGCTCAGTTAAGTGAGAAGTGGGCATACATTATTGATTCTGGTGGTCAGCCAGCTTTTCAGGAGCTGTTACCTGTGTTTACTAGAGCAGCTTCTCTTAATATCATCACACTTGACCTTTCTAAAGGTCTCGATGAGAAGTTTGAGTACATATATCGAATTAATGGAAAAGAGTTTAAATGTGATGAGAAAATGAAATATTCAAATCGTAAAGTTTTTAATTTTGTCATTTCAGCAGCATCAGTTCAGAAACCATTAGATATTCCGTATCAAACCAAATCTTCCCAAGAGGATGCTCCCATTCACTCTATGTCTTTCGTTCTTGGTACTCATTACGATGTTCTCATTAAAAGGAGTAGTGATGAAAATGAAGCAGAGGCAAAGGTGAAACAAATGAGCAATGATTTGATGTCTCAACAGGATTCTCATTCTAAGAAATATGTAATTCAAAAGATACATGGAGATTCTGTCATATTTCCTGTTGATACATTGACAAAAGATTTAAATGAACGAAAGATAATCAGCCAAATAATTATTAAAAAGATAACAGGCTGTATTAAGGCTAACCTTACAGTGAGGCTCCCAATTCGATTATTTGTTTTCGAGCTTTGCTTAGAGGAAAGAGCTAAAAGTAAAGGTGGTTTTGTTACAAGAAAAGAAGCTGATGGTGAAGGTGAGATACTTCACATGACTACTAGTGATGTTGAAGATGCTCTAACTTACCTTCACAATTGCACCATTATCCTATACTACTCGGATATCGAACCACAATTAGTGTTTGTTGACCCACAGAAAATTCTCAATGTCCTTTCACAATTATTGGCTCTCACATATGTTGACATGGATACTGCACAATCTTTTGTACCAGAAATAATTCAGGAGGAAATGACCACTTTGAAGATAAGGGGTTGTTTCAAGGAGCGCCTTCTTGCAAAGTTTACTGTCAACTCTGTATTCACTGGTGAATTCCAGCCAATGTATTTCATCAATTTGCTTAAAAAATGCCACGTTATTGCTGAATTACAAAAAAAATCAAGTCAAACTCGAGATGTCAAATATTTTCTTCCTTCTGCTTTACGTTCATACAACAATAGCTTTGAAAAGAGCCCACCAGATAGAAAACCATTACGTTTTGTGTGGAGAAAGGAAGAGGAAGATGACGAAGAAAAAGTATTTGTCAACGTACCTCAAGGAATTTTTCCTCTGATAATTGTTCGTTTACTCAAAGAAGAAGAATGCGTTGTTCGGCTTTCTAATCCTGATGATGCATTTGATTCTAATGATCCATCTAAGCCTAATGATGTCTCACAGTTTCGAGATGCAGCATCACTATTGATCTCCTTTGACAAAAGCATCACTGACCCACATGAACGTTTGTACATCATCAATTGGGAGAAGCATATTGAAGTTATATTTACTGGGAAAAAGGAGCATTGTCCTAAAGTTAATACACTAGTTCTTAAAGTCATCAACGACAGTGCAAATGACATCAATATTTTAGTTGAAGACCTAAATGTAGCTTTTGCTTGCCAACGTGATGAGAGTAAATACTGCATTGTTCAAAAGGAAGAAGCAGTGTGTCGTTCTACACCTACTCACACTTGCCCTCTTGATGACAGCTATTGGTGCTGGTTTAATACATCAGGTATATTATGTTCTGTTTTATTTCAACTATTTTATTTTATTTTAAAGATTATAAACGACGGCGTAAATCTGACACAGGAAGTTCTGGTTCTCCACAATATAAACGTAAACATCTCGAGGAAATTGATGGTACGTGTAAGTGTAGTTGTTTAGTTGTTTCTTTTTGTATGTGCATGATGATTCCATATTGTAGCTACATGTATTAGTATTTTTAATTAAATCCACAGGCAAGAAGCTTACCATTAAAACAGTCATGAAGATATTTGCTTCTTCTGCTCGCCATTACAAGCTAATAGGGATTGGATTGGACATAGAAGTAGGTGACCTGAAAGACACAGATCAAGCAACTAATAATCTTATTGAAGTATTTGAGAGGTGGTTTGATGCTAATAGAGATGTCAGTTGGAATGCATTGATAGAACTTTGTGATACCTATCCTAATGAACTTGGCACAGCAAAGGCTAAGCTAAATGAAGAACTTTGTTTCTAATGATAGCAGCTACTCATATTAGCATAACTAGTCAATTTTAGAATATTTTTATTTTTTTTCAAACATGCATAGATGTGTTAACAGTAACCCTTGAATTAACCGTTTATCACGGTACCATTTATTAAATTTACAGGTTTTTTGAATATAAGGAGCTCTCTTATCAGGAGAGGTGGTAGCAGTCCCAATTAATGAACCTCTGAAATAAAGGCACTTTCATACTAATAATTCCAACATGCCTAATATGTATCAGAAAAATAATTGTTATAAAAAGGAAAATTCCAAAAACCTCTCTGAGTGATTTTTGCCACTATAGGGCCCCAAGAAGCAAAAGAGAACCCTGCAAACTCAATTTCAGCTTTTTTGAGCTGCTTCAGTTCTGAGTAGTCCTAATCAATTGTTTACTGTTTGTAGTTAACTTGATTTAGCTTAGACTAATAGCATATCATTCCCTCCTTAAGGCAGCTCAGTGTTTACAACTGGCACTCCATATACATAGAGTCTACTGTAGGGAATTTTCTATGATTCTATCCGGAGCGAAGAGATCACTTGAGTTTGCATTATTTATGTTTAAGACTAATGTGTGATTAAAGCTATAGGTTTACAGTCAACTTAATGGTCAAAATTATGTACTAGACTGTAGACTAGTGATCTGACATTTGACACAAACAACGCTTCGAGGCTAACCAGGTTTGATGTTCCTGGTATCAACTGTAGTTCCTACTTAAATCCATGCAGTTGTTATGGTTCATGATTGCAATAAAATAACAAATGAGTCAAATGTTAGTAGGACAGGTAAACTTCATGAAGATGTAGAAGACACTTGATTATCAATACTCAATAAAACACTTATCATAGTGATGGTCATTAGTCTATTCTTCATTGGATTAATTTTCCTTTTTAATGTGCACTAGTCTACAATGTAAACACTTAGATCTATACCACCTTAAGTGATGTACAAAATAAAATTTTATTGTGACATCAGAGAGAGAAGGAGAATAAGAAAATAAAATGGAGAAGATTTTAGTTATATTATTACTGAATATCTGTTGCATTAATGGTAAGTATCTGCTATAGATCTATAGTAATGGATTTGTGAGGTCTACCTTTCAATATAGCTGCCACTGTGATGTTTGATCCTGCTACTTACAGTGTAACTGAGGGAGATAGTAATGTAACGCTTAATATCTCATTTGTGACATCTGAACCTCTCAGTGCAGAATCCACTGTTAGAATATCCAGTATACCAACAGTTGGAGCAACTGATGAAGCTACTTGTGAGTATTTGAATGCCATTTATTATGTAATTTCTATAATAACTACACTATAGCTGGAGTTGATTATGTGGCTTTCAATGAGACAGTGACTCTACCTGCTGGGTCTACAAGATATGATTATGCTATCACCATCCTTTCTAATCCAGAGGCAGAGTTTCCTGAGCAATTCAGTGCATCTTTAGAGTTTGTTAGTGGAAACCCATTAACAGTTAATGGATCTAGTGCTACTGTGACTATTAATGATACTGATGGTTAGTTATCCCTCTCTCTTGCATTGTGTTTATTGTTTTTTTTTTACTTTTTTTAGTTCCTACTTTAGTAAGGTTTGATCCTGTTACTTACAGTGTAACTGAGGCACCAATATGGATTAGCATATCATTTGTGACATCTCAGCCTCTTCTTGGTAACTCCATTGTTAGACTATATGATATACCAACTGCTGGAACAACTCATCAAGCTACTGGTGAGTAATTAAATTATTTTTATAATTTTATTTATATTTCCATTGATTTATTATAGCTGGAACTGACTACTCGTCTTTCAATAGTACAATCACTCTACATGCTGGTGATACAAAACGGGTTTATACTGTATATATCTACAATGATAGAGTGGCAGAATTTCCTGAGCAATTCAGTGCAACTTTAGAGTTTGTTAGTGGATGGCCATTGACAATTACTGGACCCAATGCTACTGTAACTATTAATGATACTGATGGTAATTTTCCTTTCATTTTTCCTTTCTTAAAAATCATTTTTTTTAGTTCCTACCATTCGATTCTCTCCCTTTTACAATTACATTACTTCACAGGAGACCACTAATGTTAATGTTACTCTAACTGGTGTTACATCACAGCCTCTATTAGGAGAAACTATTATTAGACTAACTGATGTACCTACACCTGGTGCTGCCTATCCTGCAACAAGTATAGAACTATTTATTTATTATTATGCTGTCTCTCTCTGGCAATCATATGATACATGAAATGACTAACAATAATGAAATCTCTTCCCTTCTCATTTTTTCTAGGGAACATTGACTACATTGCATTTAATAAGGAGATCACTCTACCTGCTGGGTCTACAGGATTCTCTTATAATGTCACAATATTACCATCTACAGTATCTGAGCATACAGAAATGTTTAAGGCTAAGATGTCATATGTCAGTGGTTCACCAATAGTAACTGAATCAGATGCTACAATCCGAATTTATGATAATAGTTGTAAGAATGTATTATAATTCTAAATTGTGAAAATTATACATGACTATGCTATGTTTTTTCATATAGGATCATTCTTAAACTATTATTATCATAATCATTATTACTTATTAGGTATATTGTTAACTTTCAGTTCTCCTGAATACATAGTTTCTGAAAGCAATGGAAGCGTTATAATTACTCTAATATCAACACAGCCTGTTCTAAATGATGTTGTTATCATATTAACTGATGTACCAACTAGTGGTGGAGCAAGAAATGGTTTGCTTTTAAACTATAATATGTCTATAACTATTATCTTATTATTAAATTCAAACTTTTTGTAGGCACTGATTATATGTCATTCACTGCTACAATAACAATCCCAAGTGGACAGTCTTCAGTTTCACATACAGTATCACTAGTGAATGATGATGTGACAGAATCAACTGAATCCTTTGATGTTAGAATATGCTCGATATCCGGATATCATGTTACTTCTTACTCTTATACAGCAGTTGTGACCATCATTGATGATGACAGTAAGTTACTGAGTTTGATTGTTAATTTAATGAAATTTCTCAATTTAATTAAAGGCACAGGCTCTACTAATGCAGCACTAGTGTTATCTGGTTTGAGTATATCCTTTAATATCATATTAATATTAATATTGATTGCTGTTATTTCCTATCGGTAAGTATAACATTAAATTTGACTGCATGTGGACATTGTTTTTATTGCATTTAATAGTTGCAAGAAATCAGTGATTAATAATAACATACCACCACCAGTACCTGTTGTTACTACTCAGGCCAATAATATGATGTATGATAGGAATGTGAGCTATGAACTACACACAGTAGCAAATGAGTATGTCAAATAAATATAATTATGCTTATAATAATAATTCTAATTAATAGGACTGACGAGTATGATTATATTTGATTCATTACTCAATTTGATACTTACAACTGCCAATTGGATATTATTAGTTATTGGCTACTTAATTTGATCGTTTACTTTTTATAATGCACCTTCCTTTGTTTGCTTTTACTGTCAAATAATGTACTTCATTTCTGCTGCATAAGTGACAGTTTTACATTTTTATGCAGTTTTACATTAAAAAAAATTTTTCATGATTATTGAAATATCACAAAAAAATGCAAAAATTTTGACCACAGAAATTTAGAGCTAAACAGTAATATCTAGTTTCATTGCATGCATGTACTGGTATGTGCTGAGTTTACATGTAAGGAGCTTTGAATTATTGGGATTTCAGAATAATTTCTATTACAAATGTAGTCTACATTTATCCTTTTTATTCCTATCTCTCCTCTGGTGTATTTGATGTGTCATTAGTTGGTCATTTTGGTCTTACGTCTTCTTAATGATATCTGCTGTCTCATTCTCTGGCTGTATCATCTATTCATTATTTGCCAGTGGGAAAAAACTGTACCCTCACAATAATTATGCAAAAGCAAATTTAATATACATGCATTTTATCAAGAGTATATAATATTTAAAGTATTAGGTACTTTAGGTATTATGTACTCTTGATTACATTACTGTACATTTTAATTTGAATCTATACACAAATATGAAAAATGAATATTACCTTTTTATACACTAATTCCTGTAAATACTGCAGCTGGACTATCATAATCAGGGTACGTACTACCATGAATATCAATTTATTTATTTTTATTAGTTTAAGTTATTTAAAATATAATGGGGTATAAAAATTAAATTAAAATAGTGTATAGATAGAGCCAGGATGGAACATATGGTTTTCTACCCAAGAAACTTTAAAGTCGCTCTATTATTAAATTTTCCCAGTATAGCAAGGCTGCAAAAGTTATGGCAGCCATTTTGTTTGGGGGTGAATCCTACTTAGTAACGCTACTGCGTTACTAATTTTAGGCCAATACTCTGCCATCAGTTTTATTTGAAGAACTCCTTAGCAAATTTTTATTGAAATATAGGGAGCCAATATACCAAAAGTAAAAATTGCAGTTTGCCAATGCCATGTCCATCTTTACAAGCTACAATCAATCCAACAGTAACTGCTATCAAAGCCAGAAGGTAGATCCAAAAATGAATATTTTTAAAACTATAAACAAATATGCAGCAATATGAGTAATATCTTATAAGTTACTTAATTACCTATTTTAACAGATAGTTTATGATAATAATAATAATTATAAATAATATTGTATTTGCAACTGCTGCTGTTATATTTAAAAATTCTATCTCCCCTCCCTCTAGGCAATGTGCATCTGTGGATTGCTAAAGGTATTTCAGCTACTCTTGGTGGACGGATTTCTAATCATCTAATACAACAAGGAACATGTATGGAATAATAATATTCATTCAAAGAATCAGTGTTGTTTTGGTAGGCATGATAATTTTAGTTTTAGTATTAGTTTTAGTATTAAAAATAAAATAGTTTTAGTTTTAGTTTTAGTTTTAGTAAATTTCAAAAAAATTATAGTTTTAGTTTTAGTTTTAGCAACCAAAAGTCAAGTAGTTTTAGTATTAGTTTTAGTTATAGTTTTAGTATTAGTTTTAGTTTTAGTTTGGCAGATTGTTTGTACATATTACTTATTTTGTGTCAGAATAACTTCTTTTTTCTCTGTTCCCCTGTCCATTTTACACTAACCATATAAAACACAACTACATACAAATGTGCATAACATTATGTGTACTAAAACTAAATAGCAAAGCTAAATATTTTAGTTATAGTTATAGTTTTAGTAGGTGTAATACTTTTAGTTTTAGTTTTAGTATGCTAGGTCAAAAAGTTTTAGTTATAGTTTTAGTTTTAGTTAATCGAAAGTAAAATGCCTTACCAAAAGTACTTTTAGTTTTAGTTTTAGTTAACCAAAACAACACTACAAAGAATAGAATATAAAGTGTATGTAGGATACAGAACAGAATAAGTAGAGCTACATGTAGAGGATTGTTCTCAATGCCACAGACTCAGCAATCAGCATGATATGTACATCCAATTATTATGCATTCACATGATGATACAGCAGCCACAAATAGTGATGTCATGACGACGTAATGTGTAGTTACAAAATATATATAATTCATAAATTCAAAGCCATTTTTTTCAAATTCTAATCCCAATATGGTTATACAAAAATTATAATCAAAAAATAATAAAGCCTATTCATCAGATCAGATGTCAAAAACTCAAAATAAACTCTTAAAAATTAGATTTACAACATTGTTCACTAGAGTTACAAGAAGAGGCTGAAATTTTGCAACATCACCTCCATTTCTCCAGGTAATTATCAATGCAGCAACAATCCCAATGATAGCCACAATGAAAGCTCCAAGAAAAGTTGCTCTCCCAACTGTATAAAATAACATTAAGTCTGGTTATATTTTATTACATTTACTTACTTGATGTCCAGGTAAATTTTGTTTTAGCTAAAGCAAGTAACATTGATCCAAGTAGCATTAATCCAAGTACTACTCCATAAATTACAAGTCCTTCAACTGTAAACAAGTTACAAGATAGGTTAACAGTAATTCAGCCTGAAGTTGTCTCTACTTACTAGAATAACAATAGAAAGCTAAATATCCAGCCAAAGCAAAGAGGATTACGAGTCCAAATCCAAAAGCACAAGTCATCCCTGGTTTACCTATAACAAAAAATGTGACTCTCTCAAACGCACAATTTAATGTATATTTTTAATGTGAATGAATGCATACATGTATGAAAGGCAGAATAAGGGTCTTACTTGTATTATCTGGAGCATCTGTAGAACATTTAAACCAGCACCTGCACTTAGACTCAGAAATACAAGGTAACCCTGGACAATCTGTACATTGGACTTTGAATTTATCTTTATTAACAACGAGACAGTAACATTTCTTTTCCGGATCTTTTGAACAAGCAAATGCATTGGCATGATTGTGCTCCATGTGTAGGTCATCCGTAACCTTGTCAACAGCTTGCATGACTGCTTCACGAATTTTTGAGCAATGCTCATGAGGGCCAGAGAATTGAGCAAAAGCAATCTCAATATGAGTGTAATGATTGATGAGATGAAGCGAGTGAGTTATGTCCTCAATAGTAATCTGGATCGACATAGCATCTCGAAATTTGAAGTAAAAATCTGGTCTAGGTGAAGGAAGATCAATTTTCAATTTCTTCTGATTGAGGAGGTGCATCACTACCAAAGGAAAGAGACCTTGAGGAACTGGTAGACACTTCTTCTTTTCCCTCCAAATAATAAGAAGTGGCTGAACATCTGACACTTCTACTTTAGGCTGGCTACTTTTTGAGGCACGATATGAAGAAAGAGCATAAGGAATAAAATAGGTATCCTTTTCATTACCTTCAACTTTTGTGATGATATTGAGATGCAGCAAAAGAGAAATTAGGTTATCAGGAAGTTTAAACTCAGACTGACTAAAAACTTCACTTGATTGTAAGCAAGAAAAAATTTCCTCATGAAAGAAGCCATCTTTAAGGTTCGCTATATCTGTTGCAGAGGGTGGCTGGAGTAAAACAGATTTTAGTAGCTCATAATCATTATCATCAAGTGCATTTTTATCATTGACATGGACATATGTAATAGCTAATAGCTGTGAAAGAATATTAAGAATGGGCTTAGGATCAAGAAACACTATATTATCAATAACCTCTGGATAGTATAACATCAGGCTGACGTCATGAAAATACTGCAATGCTTCCTTTGTATCTTCCTCTTTCATGCCATATTTCCTCCCAATAGATGCTACTTCCTTAAAAGATAAGATACTTTTCTTTTCAGGCAAAGAGAGCTCAAAAGCAAACCATTGAATTGGTATTTTGATTGTAACAGAAGCATCAGAGCCACTCTTCCATATTGCTTGGCAAACCTGTCTCCTGTATTTAGCCCTCTCTTCTTTTGACTCAGCAATTGTTGTGACAGGAAATATAATAGAACCTTCCAGCCTCTTGATAATACGATTTTTAAAGTAAGGTTGTAAGGAAGATATTGAAGTATTTAAATCAACTTCAAATTTATTTAGAACAGCTTCATCCACTTTATCGTAATGTGTTCCCAGAACAAGATGCATTGAATGACGATGTGGTTTAGTGATGCAAGAAATATCAAGAGATTTGAAATTAGCTGCTGTAGAAACAGCAGATTTGAAGGATGCTAACTGAGTTGACTTAGAGTGACACGGAAAATATTTTCCATTGGCCCTGTACATCATGTCAAGCTCATCATCAAGAGGTTTAGAGAGGTCAAGAGTGATGATATTAAGAGAAGCTGCTCTAGTAAACAATGGCAGCAGCTCTTGATATGCTGGTTGACCACCAGAATCAATAACGTACAACCAATGGCCTTTTAAACGAATATCTGTGAGATCCTTTGCCAAAATTTCTTGAACTACCTCCTCAGCATGAGGATCAACATCATCATCTTCTATTTGTTTTGATGACACAGAATCTTTCAAAATGCTTGACATGGGTAACTGATCAGTGCCCTCTGATGATGCAGCTTTTGTTCCTGAGTCTTCTAATTTTTCTTGCGATGCTTCAATCAAATCAGCTGCTAAACCCTCCATTAACATATCTCTTGTTATTCGTTTCCATTTCTTGCTCTCATCATCTACCCCTACTCTCACTGCTCGGACAGTGGGACAAGCGATTGCTGTGCTGTCAGCAATTCCCTCAGTTGGAGCATCTTCATCTAACAGTAGGAGCTGTGCACAGGTTTTACCAGACCCAGGAACACCGAGCATGTTAACACGAGTAATGGTTAATTCAATGCTCCCTTTCTTCATCCATTCTCTTAAAGCACCTAATGTAGTGGAGAAAAAAATTGTCTATTATCTTTTCTGTAAAGTGATTATTAGATTTATTTGTATAATTATTTAGTGTTCCAGTGTATGCTACTGCTGGAGGAGGTGAAGGTTCTTGTTGAGAGCTGATAAGGCTTCTATACTTAGGTAAACTGATTTCGTCTACAATTTACAAAAAATTACAAAAATAAAGGTACATGTATGCTCAAGACTAAAAATAATAGAGTATAACAATACAAAAAAGACTAGTATGACTCCAATCACCAACCCAGTAACAAACATCAAAACTCTGTCATACCACTTAGCTAAAAATTAAAAACAATGTTAATCTAATACCATTGTTATTATGGATTTACCAAGTACTGTAGGGCACCTTTTTTCGAGGGATATAAATTTCGTGAATTTTTATTTCCCGGATTTAATTTTTGTGAATTTATGCCGTCTACCATCTTGCACCATATTAATTTCATTTTTGCGAGAGTAATTTTCGCAAATTTTTTAAAAATGGCAAAATCCGTGAAATTTATAGCCCTCGAAAAAAGGCGCCCTACAGTACATCCAGTAATTATAATGAAATCTCATAATAAAGGTAGCAAAATGTTTACATAATATATTTTTATAAATAATATTTTAATATAAAATTATACAGTTAGAAAAGTAAAACAATATTTCAGTCATTATAAAATACCATATGGTGGAGAATTCTTAAACGAGCATGTGCAGAATATAACCACTGCTCCACCTTACGTGATGATTGCTACAGCACCAAGCATGAGCACGGGTATAAAAGGGGGTGGGCTGCCCAGTCAATTAAAAATGGCGGGTGGCTTTAGAATGTAATTAAAAATGGGCAGTGAAGAATCACAGAATGCAAGCACCACAGGCATCCACAAGATCTAAAAAAGACTCTTAGAAGAGTACAGACAGTTTTACTAACTCCCTATACCAGCAGAAAACTCAAAAGAGCCATGCATCATGCAGCTTTCAGGGGCATATCTAGGAACTGGAAAAGGGGGGTGCTGAGGGCGCGCGAAGCGCGCCGCGATTTTGGCCACACCTACTTTTACGGCGGTAAAACGGCATTTTCCTGCATTTTCGCATAGATACTATATATACCAAGTGGATGCGAAACAGGAAGTGGATTGTACATGAAATTATATTGGTGACGTCACGAGCAGTATACCTATGCTCTTTTCGCTCTAGCGTAGCCTCTACTGGCCTTGTTTCTCGAAGTTTTGGGTTCTTGGTCAAGTTACTACTTTCCTGAGTTGAAGTAAGTATCATGAAGTCTCTATTAGCTCGAATGACCTGCTGAATCCTTGTTTGCTTGATCACTGGATCTCGTTGTACTATAAAACATGGCGGCCTATAGTTCTGACTTTAAACACC